CTCGTCCGGCCGGTGGCGCGTCCAGGCTCGCCATCTTCCACAAGATCAGCCGCCAGTGGTTCCTGACCCATCGCTCATCTGCGTACGGGCACCCGCGCGCCAGCAGCGTCCGGAGCGCCTCGTGCGGGCCGAGCGGCTCGCCGTCCGGCCCGTCGAAGGCGTACCGGTCGGCCTGGGTGGCATCGCAGAGGATCACCAGAACCTCGTCCGGAACGCCCCGCGCGATGGCCTGCAGTGGCGAGACGCCCTCTGGCACGATGCCAGACGCAGCGAGCGACTGCCGAGGCTGTCGCCGCGCCAGGTCAAAGACGGACGACGACGACGACGACGACGACGAAGGCCCTGCCACGCCCGCCGCATCCGTCCCGCGCTTGTGCTGCAGGCCCTTGGCCCGCTGCGATGCGCTGGCCGGCTGCGGGTAGACGACGTTGGCCTGCCTCGACGCGCCGAGCGGCGTGCGGAACGGCGACGAGACCGAGCCGGCAGATGGCACCGGGCCCGACGAGCTGTTCTTGAACGGCGTGCGGAACTTGGGTCGCGCGACACCGCCACCGCCGCCGCCGCTCGTCGGCGTCTGCTTGCCCCTCGGCGTCATGCCGAGCGAGATGCGCTTCTGCGAGGCGGGCGTGCCGAGGCCGCCCGAGGTGCCGCCGAACCGGGGGGAGCCGCCGTTGGTCATCGACAAGGCCGATGATGGCCCCGCTCGCCGATGCGACTGGACCGGCACGGGCAGCGGCCGTGTCGGCGTCCTTGCGGTCATGCTGGCAGAGTCTGTGGTCGCCGCTGCCCTGCGCGGTACGGCTTCCGCTGCCGTGAGCGTGGGGACCGCTGGTGCTGAGGCCGATCCGCTGCCGGTGGCTGGAGCGGCAGGCGCGGCGACAGCCTTTTCTTTTGTCGCTTCGGCGGTGCCTACGGCGGGGATCTGCTGCGCCATTGATCGATCATCCACGGCCTGTTCCGGTGGAGCTGGAAGCGCCCGGGGCGCCGGTAGGGTTGGTGTTTGAGCCTGTGACGGCGGAGCGGACCCATCGTCGGCGCCAGACGGCCGGGTTGCTATCCGTCTGGGCCGCTCGACGGCCTGGGGAGGCGTGCGCGTCACCAGGCCGCCTTCTGCCTCGCTGTCGATCTCGGCAAACAGCCGCTTGGCTGCAGCTAGTGCTGCTTCGCTCGGCCGGAGGGCGACGCCTTTGGCGTTGGAGAAGCCGCCGAATCCGCCGCCACCGAGGCCCGGCAGAGCACCCGTCGTGCCTGCTCCGAGGGCGAAACCGTCCATGCCGCCCTCGCCCTTGACCACATACTCGGAGTCGCTCCAGTCCTCTTCGTCCTGCATCGCCTGCTTGCCCTTGCCCTTGCCCTTTGCCATGAGATCCGGAGCTGGATCCCGCTGCGACGGCTCAGATGGCTGCGGCGGCGGCTGCGGCTGCGGCTGCGAGGAAGACGACGGCGGATCGGACTGTGAGAACACCAGCCGCCTAGCGCGCTTCATGGCGGCCTCGCTGGGCCCGGCCAGCTTGCTGTTCGCAGCGGTGCGGAAGCCCATGAAGGCCGCCGGCGGTGGTCTCGCCGAGGGCGATGCCGCAGCATCTGGCGCTTCGAGACCCAGCGGCTGGCTGCCAAAGAGGGCATCGAGGTCGGGCCCATCGTCGTCCCAATCTGTAGCATCGTCCTGTGCAGCAGCCGGCTGGAGCGACTCGACGGCGGCAGCGAGCGACCGGTCCTGGTGCAGGGCTCGCTTGCGCGCGACGAGCGGCGATGACGGCGGCCCTCCTCTGCCGCTTTGCATCGAGCCGAGCGCGGGGCGTGACGTCTTGATGGGGTCGGCGGGGCTGAGCTCGATATCGTCGAAGGCATCGGCGTCGAGACCTTCGAACAGGAGGCTGTGGTCAGCCATGTCGAGCGGCGCCTCGAGGGCGAGGTCGGTCTCTGCGGCCGCCGTAGCGTCTTTGGCAGGGGCATGCACGGTTGAAGCAGGCTCCTCGACCTGGCCCTCGCCGACGAGGAGGGTCGCCATGGCTGGTAGTGCCTCGACGGCCGGCTCGGCGAGACCCTCGCCTTCCACCTGGGCTAGGGCCTGTACCTTGCTCTCGACTTTGTGTTGGCCGTCAACCCCGCCCTCGACTTGACCCTTGCTCTTAGCCTCGTCCTGGGACTCGCCGAGTTCCTCGATGGTGGCATCTTCAAGCTTCCCCTCCGCCGGGGCATCGCCTGGCTCGTGCACAAGCGCAAGCTCGCCTCTGATGGGCGCGACGGACGGCAACGCAAGGTTCGCATCGGATGCGGCAGGACTTGAGTGGAGCGACGGAGAGGATTGCGCCGGTGTGTCCTGCGCCGCATCGACGGCCTCGTTGCCCGGTGAATGGCCATCCGCATCGTTTTCCAGGAGCAGAGACTGGCTGTTCTCCTCCTGGATCAGGTGAAGCTCCTGCAAGATGGAGCGCTGAGTGAGGGCCTCGATGTCGTCCTCGTCGCACTCGTGCGGTCCCTCCTCGGGCGAAGCAGAGCGCACCGTCGGTACCGGGCGTATCGAGGTCGTATCGTCGAGAGTACAGCGGGAGCGCGAGCGCAGTTCGTCTGTTCGCTTTTCGTCGTCGTTGTGCGCGGGGTTATGGCGAAGCGGGGCGATGGGCTGGACGAGGTTGATGGCCGAGCTGGATTGGAGCACGCGACGATCAGATGGCGGCGGAGGAGATGCGGCGATGCATTGTGCGTTTCGCCGGATCGGGCGATGCAGGTCGGTCTCGACGCTCGCAGCGGCGGCGGCGGTGGTGGTGGGGATGAGAGTGGAGGAATCGCCTGCTGCGTCGAGGGACGGCGAGAGTCTGCGTCGCTTGGGAGGAGAGGGCGCCATGGTGGGTCGCAAGGACGGCGAGTTGCGATTCGACGTCGGGTCAAAGAGGAGCGAGCGGGCAGCGCCGAAGGATCATGGTCGTCGTCGACCCCCTTGCTCGCATGGGGTGGTGGTGTCGGCGGCGGTTGTGGTGGCAGTGGTCGGATGAGAAGGAAGACAGGCAAGGACTGACGCTCGCCACCTGCCGCTGGCTGGCCCTTGCTCCACTTTTTGGGGGGCAGGCTGGGGCCCTTCTCGCCGACGCGACGCGCGTTTGCCCGGCTCTTCTGCAGGCTTACCTTTGGCTCGCTGGGCAGCGATATTGACCACTCTGCTCCTTTCCCGCAGCAGCAGCAGCAGCAGCAGCAGCAGCAGCAGCAGCAGCAGCAGCAGCGGCGGCAGCACGACGAGTACAGGCTGGATACAGAGGCACTCGGGTCGACGACTGATCCTGCCCTTCCAATCCAACCTGGCTGGATGGCATAGCAGGTCTGAGCAATGGGATGGCGCCCGGCCCAGCCTGGCCCCGCTGGGACGACGATACAAGTACATGGCCACACCGCGGCGACCGACGCTCACAGCTCCTCCTCTTCCTCTTCCTCCTCCTCCCCTCCCTCGTCTTGTCCGTCATCGGCGGACCTCTGCGTCCTGGCCAGCTCGGCGTCGACGTCGACCCTCTCGCCATTCTCGAGCCGCTCCACGAGGCGCATCAGCTGCATCCGCCTCTTTCTCTTTGCGTCGAGGGTCCTCCGTTGGCTCCGCACGAGCTCCTGCTGCTCTTGCTCGTCGTTATCGCCCCTGCCGGCCCCTGCCGCCGATGGTGTTGCCGATCCACGTTGCCCGGTGAGCGACGATTGGGAGCTCGCTGCCATCCCGCTCCTCTTCCTGGCCGCCTCGGCCTCGCGCCCTTCGAGGCTCTTGGTCTCTGCCAGGCTGGCCAGCCGGGCCTCTTGGGCGGCCGTCTTGTTGCGCAGCGCCTGCGCCTTGCGCTCCAGCTTCTCCAGCTCCGACGAGGCGAGCGTGACGAGCTGGTTGATGTGCGGCAGCACCTCGGACGAAATGTGGCTCCGCGCCTGGTGGATGTCTCGCTCCGAAAGTAGGTCGTGGTACTGAGTGGCGAGGAGCGGAGTGGATGGAGATGATGAGGGAGAGGCGAATGCGGATGTCAGCGCTGCCGCGGTGATCAAGTGGACCTGCTGCTGAGGCATCGGGGGACAGGCTAGCTCACCCTTCGGTTCGAGAGGACGACCTTGAGCCTGGGAAAGTCTTCAGTGGCCTGCGATAGGATCTCGATCGAGTCTCCGAGCTGTATGTGCAGCGCAGAGCAGGGCGGCATGGAGGGTCGGACAGAGGTTAGCAGGGGTGCCAGCAGCATCAGGAGGTGTTGGGCTGCACAGTCGCTGCGATTGATCCAGGAGCGAGGCTGGATCGTCTACTCACGCAGTCGACGCTCCTCTGGGTGGAAGCGACGCAGCTGTGCAGGCTGGAGAGGATCGACGACTGCTGCGCGGCCGACGAGGGCGGATAGAGTGACTGGCGTGGACCGTGGTGCATCATCCTGGGGTCGGTGTATCGTGGGGCCGTGTTTCTCGCCGGTCCGTCCGTATTGTCGCCGATCGGTCTTGACGAGAGCGGGTGGATGTAGGGGGCAAAAGGGGGTGGGGGTGGAAGGAATGCGATGCGATGCGAATGCGATGGTGGGCGGTCCGGAAGGTGTTGGTTGGCTCGCTCGCTCGTTGCGCCGGTGGAGGCTCGAGGGTGGGTGAGGTCGGGTCAAGATCAACACCTGCCTGGCCTGGCTTGGCCTGGCCTGGCCTGGCTGGCTGGCTGCTGCCCCACACGCGCGCGTTTGCCCGCCCAGCCCGATTTTTCGGGTTCTGACTCTGGATTCGGATTTTCCAGCGAGGCAGCCTCACTCGCCGCCGCTGCCGCCGCCGCCGCCACTCGGTCACTCGCCGACACCGGGCCTCATCGCCCCCACCTCGTTGGCTTGGCCTCGCCCGCCGTTGTCGTTCGGTTTGAAGGCAACAGGTTGTCCTGAGCTAGGCTAGGCTGGACTGGGCTGGGCTGGGGTGGGCGAAAGACAACGCTACGGGCGCACCTGGTCACACGCGGGCCCCTGACTCTGACCGCCGACCCGCTTCCAGGGAGCGACTGGACTGGCGCACCTCGTCGTGGAAGCCTCGTCTATCGGAGGACCGTATCGAAAGCTGCCTGCTCCCTCTCCCTCGCCCTCACCCCTGCCCCCTCCCACCTCAGATCGAACGACGGGGACAGCATGACGACCGTCGCCGCCGCTCGCCCCTTGGCGTCTCGACCGCATCTCGGTGCGAGGATCAAGTCGGCTCTCCTCGAAGGCCTCTTCCATCGTCGGCGGGTCCGAAAGGCCGTCGAGGTTTTCTTTGCGCGGTGCCGGCGCTGAGGAGCACAGGCTGCTGGTCGTCGACTGGACCGGCAATGGGACGGGTCTCGAGCCGAGAGCGCCGTCGAGCGAAGGCCACGCAAGGCAATGCGCCCCGGGCACAAGGATGAGGATTGACGTCGTATCGTCTCCAGGTAGAATGGACAAGGCAGCCGTCGTCAGCGGCGGCACCGAAACCTGTCGATCGCCTGCCTCCGTCCGTGCTGGCAACTCGGGTGCCATCGAAGAGCCCGGCGCGCCCCATCCGCTCCTCGTATCCGCCTTGTTTCTCCTCCCTCCCCCGCCCCACCCTCCTACACGAATCCAAGCACGGCGAGGAGCGCCCTCCCCACGTTCCTGCCGTCGTGCTCGAGCCTGGTCCGCTTCCGCGCCTCGTCGGCCTGCTGGCTCGTCAGCGTGCCCTTCTCCTCGTATGCGTCAATGATGGGGAGGATGATGGACTCGTCCCACTCCGGATGGCCCTGGATGCCAAACACGTGGACGCGGTTCCACGGCGACGGCGGGCCCGCCTCAGTCTCCTCGGCCAGCGTCGTGTGCAGGAACTTGGGGATCTCGGCGTCGGCCGGGTAGAGGTGCGCAATGGCCTGAATGGGCGTCTGGTCGCTCCACGCCAGCAGCTCAAAGTCCTGCGGCACCTCGCCCTCGACAATGTCGCCGTGCACCTGCTGCAGCATAATGTGGTCGCGCGCCTCCCTGCCGGCGCCACCCTCGTGGCCCTCGTGGCCCACCTCGTGCGGCGGGTGGAGGATCCGCTTGCCCAGCTCCGTCAGGTGCAGCTTGGTCGAGCCGATCTCGTGGCCCTTTGGGTTCATGACGATCCGGTTGGGCCCAAACGCCCGCGCGATGATCTGCAGGCCGAAGCAGATGCCAATGATGCGGATCCGCGGGAACTCGTCGTAGAGCTTGATGAGGAACCCGGCCAGGCGCAGGATCCACCGCGTGTCCTCGGACGCGCCGTCCTGAAACGACCCAGAGATGACGACGGCGTCAATCGTCGTGCGCAGCTGCCGCTCCGACGGGTACTCGCGTTTGCGTGCGTCGAAGACGAGCGTGCGCAGCTCCAGGCGCGACTTGTCCTGGATCTTGGACGCCTGCGTGCGCTCCTTGAGGATCGGCTCGAAGAGGCTGTATGGGCAAAGGAGAGCGACGAGGAGCAAGGGGGGGGCGGTTCAGCTGGGGGGGTCTGGCAGAGGGAAGGTCCAGAGGACCGAGGGCACGTCCATAGGCGACCGCATCGGCAGGCTCGACTCACTTGTGGATCACGTCCTCGTACCCGCCATGCACCTCCTTTGCGCTCTCGTGGATCTCGTCGCACTTCATGAAAGCCACCGTCAGGCTCCTCTGTCGGTCGTTGTGCTCCGAACCCTCCTCGCGGTTGACGATGCGCGAAATGTGCTCGTCGTCCGACGACTCGATCGGGCTCTGGCTCTGGCTTTGGCTCGACGACCTCCCCCCTTCGGCCCCATCCCTGCCGTTGCTGTCTTGTTGTCGGTACTTGCCGTTAGGTTGCGACTGCTGCTGCTGCTGCTGCTGCTGCTTCGACGAAGAGGGCGTAGCAGCGCCACTGCTATGACTGTCGGCGTCGCCGCTGCTGCTGCTCTGCTTCTTCTTCTTGCGGTCTTGGGGTGGCGTGTTGGGTCGCCCGTGCTGGTCGACGGCAGGGATGAGTTTCTCGCCGCCAGGGATCGACTCGGCCACCTGTCGGATCGTATCGTAGGCCGCCTCGCGGGCAGCCGGACCGGATTGGGCCATGGCGTTGTCGTGCTCGTTGTCTGCCTGTCTGTCTGCCGCGCAAGGTCGCAGGGATGGAAAGGGGAGAGGGAGCTGTGGAGCTGGAGCGAGATGAAAGAGCTGGAGGTCGTCGGTCGTGGAGGAGAAGATGAAGGAGACGGAGAAGGAAGCCGCAGCTCACGTCCCTCTTCCCAGTCGTCACTTCTTCCAACCATCCAGGCCTGGGCCTGGCCTGGCCAGGCACACGTCCCAGACGGACAGCAGCTTGACCCTGACCCGGCTGACAAGCTCAAGGCACGCCAAGCTGCCAAGAGCCGGACCGGCCCGAAGGCATGACAGGCCAGCCCAGGAAGAAGGCCTGTCAGCGGGCCAGCCAGCCCAGACCAGATGCGCAACCGCACCGCAACCGGAAGCATCAGCCGACATGAGATCGACCCACAGCTACTAGCGAAGCATGCCGGCCACGACAGTCGAAAGACCCTGGCCTGACCTGGCCGGCTGGGCTGGTGTAGGCAGGTCGAGCCGTTTGCGCTTAGTCGTGCGTGCGTGCGTTCGTGCGTTTTTCGTTTGCATGAGGCTAGGGCCGGCAGGCCAGGCAAGACGTCATCCCCTTAGTCCTGCGCTGAGCCCCCCTTGTGTACGTACAGGCGCCAGACGAGGCGGCGAGGGCGGGGGGCCGGAAGAGGGCCCGACCAGGCAGGGCAGAGGACAAAATCTCCGAATGTGGAGGGATGCCTGTGGAGAGCTCGGCTGGTCGACGGGCAGGCAGGTCAAACCATCAGGTAGCGCGCGTGCAAGGCAGGGGTGCAGGAGAAGCCGAGAGACGGGCACAGGGAAGCCTCGACGGCCGCAGAGAGGGTTTCGCTGGCTTCGTCGTCGATGGTCGGTCGTCGGTCGTAGGTCGTAGGTCGTAGGTCGTTAAGTGCGCTTGCGGTCTGTGTGTCGGTTGGCTGAGGCTGGTCGTAAAGCCAGGCCAGGCTAGGCCGGGCTAAGGGGTGCGTGTGCTCATCACACCTGGGTGAGCGTGAAGGAAGGCAGGAAGGCGGCGGCAGGTTTCGAAGCGGCCATGGCCTTGCCGTACAAGGTGGCGGGATCCTTGGTCGAGGACGGCATAGTGTCGCCCTTGCCGCTGCCCTTCGACTTGGCAGCAGTCCCTGCCGTGGAAGTGGGGTTGCTGGACGTGCCGGTGGCCGACACCGCCTTGGCGAGCCGGCGGCTCTCGCTGTCGGCGCCGCTCAGCCCAAGAGTCTTGCGGATGACATCGGCGATGTCGACGAGCAGCTGGTTGGAGGACTCCGCAGCCGCCCGACCGTGCTCGGCGCAGTAGCAGCGCTTGCCCGTGCAGTCCTGCAGGCAGCTGACCAGCACAAAGCACACCAGCAGCATCGGCCCGAGCTCATCGGCCGTCTCAAACGTGGTACCGTTCCACGAGCTCCACTGGCTCCTGTCGAGCAGCTCGCAGACTTCCTCGAATGCTCGCGCGCAGCGGGTGTGGAGCGCCACATAGTCGAACTGGAGCGCCCGCATATCGGCCCTGAGCCCCTCGCTGAGGATGCCGAGCAGCTCGCTCATGGACGGTTCGGGCTCATGCTGCTGCTGCTGCTGCTGCTGCTGCTGCTGCTGGCGATGCTGGCTCGCTCCAACGACTGCTGACGAGGACGAAGACGACGCCGATGCCGAAGGCAGGGGTGGCGACGACGGCTTGACGCGAGGGGGCGGCTTCTTGCCCTCGGCCTTGAACGCCGCGCGCACCTGGCGCGCCTTGGTGTCGGCCAGCAGCCGCTGGACGGTGCCGTCGTTGAAGTCGGCCTGGAGCAGCGCGCCCTTGTGGTTGGTGCAGGTGCACTGCAGGCTGGCAAAGATCGAGACAAACGGCGAGTCGTCCTGCAGGCGCTCGAGGCGCGTCAGGATGGCCGTCTTGTTGAGCTCGCGCGTCGCCTTCTTGCGGCGCAGGTGGCTGCCGTGCAGGTAGTCGAGCACGCTGCTCTTCTCGTACCCGTACGTCGTCATGGCGGCCTGGCACGAATCGAGCATCGTCGCAGGCACCATGCCGCCGAAGATGGCTTCGGGGCCGTGCATGCCAACGACCATGTCCATGTCCGGCCAGCGGAGCGCCGCGTGCTCGGTGCGCTGCCTCGCGACGTGGTTGCGGCAGGCGACATAGAGGTGGGCGCTGGCCAGGATCAGGCTGGTGAAGTTGGCCACCTCGAAGCCGACGGTCTGGTGCAGCAGCAGCCCGCGGAACGCCTGCAGGCCGCAGTAGGTCGGGTGACGCTCGAGGAAGTGGGCCATCCGCCCCCTCTTCTGCTGCTTCTTCTTGCCGGGCCGGGGCGCGCCGGCCATCGGCGGCGAGCCGGATCGCGCGTACATCTCGCTCAGCAGGTCGTCGACGCCCTGGAGCGTGACGCGGATGCGGAAGCCCGCGTGGTCGTCGTCGTCGTAGGGGTACTCGAGCCACGAGGCGTCCTCGAGGCTGCGCTGGATGCGGTGCAGCTCGCGCTTCGAGTCGAGCCAGCCGCGCACGTTGTCGCCCTGCAGCGTGTAGTTGATGTCGAGGTACACCTGGATCTCGAAGAGCAGCAGTAGCGAGGGCGCGTCGTCGCCGCGGATGAAGCGCGACATCTCGCGCGTCAGCGCGTCGGCGCTCTGCGCGCTCGAGTCGGCTCGCTGGCAGCCCGAGGGCGGCACGAAGCGCGTGTAGAGCTCAATGGCGTGCTGGAAGGCGCTGTCAAACATGGCAAAGTCGGCAAACGCCTCGTCGACCAGCCGGCGATCCTGGAGCAGGCGCTGCTCGGGAGTGAGGGTGGCGTAGTCGAAGCCGAGCAGGATCGGCGTCGTCGTGGCGCGGTTGTTGGGATCGACGGCGTCCATGCTCTCGCGCCACAGGTCGCGGCGGCGTGGCAGCCAGTCGAGCGGGAAAAGCAGGAAGTGCTCGAAGGCAAAGAGGAGCGCGTCGCGCGCCGCCTTGATCCTCAGGCTGCCGGCGAGGATCTGCGAGCGGCGACCGTTGCGGCTGACGCAGAGGCGCTGGCCCGTACGCAGCTCGAACGCGTAGTCGACCAGCGAAAACAGGATGTCCTCGGGGGCGTCGAAGAGCGAGCTGTAGCGCGACATGATGTCGGCGTGCGCCTTTTCCACGAGCTGGAAGGCCGTGTTGGTCGTCAGCGAGGCCGTCACGAGGTCCGTCTTGCGCTGGCGGTAGTCGGACCACAGCTGGCGCAGGAAGCGGCGGATCTCGTGCAGGTCGGTGTAGAGCGCCATGAAGGCGCACAGCGCCTCGTCGACGTTGTCCTCGACCTGATACTGCAGCGCCTCTTCGCCAGGCGAGTCGTCGGCGTGGTCGTCGTCGTCGTCGCCCTCGTCGACGGTGTACGTCTCGAGCTGCGTGAAGAGGTTGCCGGCGGGTCTCGCGGGCCCCTTGCCCTTGCGCTTCTTTTGGCCCTTGCCCTTGTTCTTCTTCTTGCTGCCGGCGCTTTGCGGGCTGCGAGGGCTGCTGGAGGAGGCGGTGGACGCCGTTGTCGCCGTCGCTGCCGCCGCCGCCTTCGCCGTGCTGGGCCTCTGCAGATCGTCGGTGGCGACCTGGACCTCCTCGGCCTCGAACGGTTCGAGGATGGTGCAGACCTCGATGAGGACCTCGACGAAAAACACGTGCTGCAGGCGCGAGAGGTCGGGCTGCTCGCCGAAGAAGTGGATGCAGGTGAGGCGGCGGTGGATGCAGCGGCGGATCAGGCGCAGCTTGTCCGGCGCCACGCTGGCGCCCTGATCGGCGATGAACTGGGCCAGCTCGATGAACTGGGGGATGCGGAGGATGTACTTGTACTGGGCGGGGGCCGGAGCGGGAGCCGGGCCACTGCTGCCGTGGTGGCACGCTCCCTGGCCAATGCCGTTGCCGTGCTCGCTGCCGGTGCCGCGGTGCGTCGACGCGCTGCTGTGCAGGTCGCGTTGGGTCGCGTTAGCGGGGGCCCTGGCACCCGCGCCAGCGCCAGCTCCCTTGGGCTTGACTGCGGTGGCGATGCGGTGCTTGGGGAACCCGAGCGAGAGCGCCGTGGTGGCGAGCCAGCTGGCGCACAGGTCCGTGTCGCGCTTGTAGGCCCAGTAGGTGGAGCTGTAGCCGTCCATGGCGGGCAGCCGTCAGCAGTCAGCAGCGCGGCCAGCGAGGCACGCACGGCAGGTGGCGCTGGAGATGGGTCAAGGAGGTGCTGCCCGGTCTCGCTGGGGGGGGGTGAAGCTCAGTCGCGGTGGCGATGCAGGCGGAGCGGGTGAGCAGACGAGAGATGGGAGAACGATGAGGTGGCGGCGAGGGTAGCAAAGGGAGGGGAGGCAGGGAAGTAGGGCAAGGTGGGGGCTGGGAAAGCAGGCGAGGGCGGGGGTCGAGGTGGTTGGCGGAGGGAAAGGAACAAAGGGCCCGCCCAGCCAGCCGTGTGGCGTGCTGAGAAAAAAGGGCAGGGCAGGCAGGCCGCAAGAGCGAGGGCAGGCAGGCACGCCTGGGGCATGGGCAGCCCGGCTGCCTGCTGGTCTGCCTACCTGGTTGCCAACGTACCTTCCTCGCTGGGCTAGGCTAGGCTGGGCTGGGCAGGCTGAGCACGGTCCCCTTGCCTGCGTCAGTGGCGCTGCAAGCGTGAAATAAATGAACCAGGCAGGCAGGGCAGGAAGCTAGGCAAGCGGGCGGACGGGCGGGCGGCCAAGCCGAGCTGACCCACCCAAGCGGTGCAGCCTTCCGAGACAGGACAGGCAGGCATCCAGGCAGCGGCAGTGGGCAGGCAGGCAGCGGAGGCTAGCCAATTGTCAGAGCGGCCAGACGCACGCCCGGTGCTTGGGCCTGAGCGGACGCATCGGAACGGACCGATGCCGCGTCGAGACAAAGCGCCGTTTGGCAGGTGGGCAGGCCAGAGGCAAGGGAGGGGCCGTGAAAGGGCAGCGACGCCCGTGCGTGTGGCAACGGCTTCGGAATGGGCCCGCCTGCCTTCCTTAGACGGCGGCTCATCCGGCTGGCGGCGGAGAGGAGTGGAACTTGGCTCCTTGCTTGGCCGCGCTCGCATGTCCAGTCAGGCTCTCGCCGCTGTAGCCTCGGACTGCAACTCGCTCCGAGTTGAATCAGAAGAGGTTTGGGTGGTCGACTAGGCCCGCTCCTTCGCGGGGCGTACATGCATGCTCTCGCCAGGCGTAGGCAGACCCACTGTCTACGCGTGACGACCCGGAATGGGCTTCGGGGAGCTGGAGCTGGAGCTGCAGGGGACGAGGCGTTGAGCCAGCTCGCTTCATCGAGTCAGGGCTGGCCTAGACATTGGCGCCTCTTCGCAAGACGGATGGCGACGAAGAGGGGGCGATGTCATCCGGCCAGGTCGGTGCGGTTAGAGTGGAGGAGCGCTGCACCGAGCCGGGCGGTGAGGAGCGCCGCAAAGCAGGAATCGGTGTGACGAGCCGGCTCGCTCAGAGATGGTCGCCCTCCGATCATGTCGGCGCTTGCAGCAGGAGGTTCATGACTACGAAGTGTGGCCTGCCTGGACTGTCTCGTCGTCACCGCAGCGGCGGGTGTCTGCACCGTCGCCGCCGGAGCCGGAGCCGGAGCCGGAGCTGGAGCCGGAGCTGGCCTCGATCTGAGGCGATGCTGGAGCGCCAAGGCCGGCCAGGGTGGCTCGCAGCTGGCGGCATCCGACGTCGGGCCCGACCTCGTCCACCTTGCCGCGCATCGCTGCGACGACGCGGAGCATGGCCTGCTTCTGCATCTGCAGCGTGGGCAAGAGGTGGTCCGGCCGTCTGCGGTTGGCCGAGTACACGCCCTCGAGGACGTACAACGTCGTAAAGACGACCCACATGGGATCCTCTCCGTACGGATAGTTGTCGGCTCGCGTGAGGGACTCGTTGTTCTTGCTGATGGCCGGGTAGATGGCCTCAAAGACGCGCAAGCAGCCCATGTTGAGGGTCAGGTAGTCGAAACACAGGTCGGGCAGGTCGGCGGCGAGGCCAGCGGCGAGGGTCTGGAGAAGCTCGACGATCGAGAAGGATCCCTTCGGCCTGCATCTGCGCGCGACTTGCGGCTGGATCAGCTCGTCGCGGTCGGCGGTGGTGCCCCTGGCGGATGAGGTGGTGGCTTCGACTGTGGCGGCCCCAGAAGAGATGGCCGTGGCTGACCTCTTGCGAGCCTCTCGGAGCTGCTTGTTGCGGAGGTCGGCAAGCTGCTCCTGCGCCCCGCCGATGCGATCCCGGGGGTAGCGACCGATCTTTGCAAAGAGGGCGAAGAACGCCGAGTCGTTCTGCAGCCGGTCCCATCGATGCACAAAGCCGATCCCCCTCTCCTTCCTGAGAGACTGGATCATGCGGAGGGCGCTACCGTGGAGCTGGTCGCTGATGAGCTGATCGGAGCAGCTGTACAAGCGCATGAGGGACTTGCACGACTGGGTCAGGTCGGTCGGAAGAGTGTCGCTGCCAAAGAGCTTCTCCGGCCCACGCAGCTCGACGACGAGGTCTATGTCGGGCCAGTCCAGCTCGCCGGCCTTGAGCTCTTCGCCCAGATAGGCTCTGCAGGCCGCAGAGAAGTGAAGGGCGGCCAGAGTGATGCCGCTGCCGCGAGCGATCGCGGCCCCGACGTCCCGGTAGAGGTGGAGCGCGCGGAAGGCCTGCAGCCCGCAGAAGGTCGGGTGGCGGTCTAGAAACGCGATCCTGGTTGCGCTCGACCAGTCCTGGGGTTCCTCTCCAGGACTGCGAGGGACCGAATGCGAGCGCATCCTGAGCTCGATGCCCATCAGGTCGACGTCCCTGGCTGCTGCAGCGAAGTAGGCTTGGTTAGGGGCGGGCAGGTCGAGCCCGCAGGTGTGCCCCATCGCCGCGTCCAGGCCGTCCTGAATCTGCTTGAGCAAGTCTCGCGCCTCGAACCTGGCCCGCCGATTGTGGCCCTGAAGGACATAGTTGATGTCGAGATAGATCTGGAGCTCAAACGCCAGCAGCAGCGTCGGTCCCTCGGTGCCACGAGCGTACCGCGACATCTCGCGCGTCAAGGCGTCGTGGCTGTCGGCGCTGCAGTCGGGCGCCCCGCGCAGGCCGGCCACGCGCTCACGGATGACATCGTCAAAGATGGAGAAGTCGATAAAGGCCGTGTACAGGAGGGAGGTGTCGATTTCCCGGCGCCTCTCGTCGGTGAGGTGCTCGACGTCGACCGACTGCTCTCCACCGTCGAGGTCCATCCCCGCTTCGTGCAGGCTCGAGTCGCCCGACGACAGGATAAGCTTCCATTCTCGGAGCTTCAGGAAGGGGTGGAAGTAGAAACGCTCACGGACGAAGGCCTCCGCCTCTCTCTCTGCTTCCGAGCTCGCATCGTCGGCGAGGTCGTCCGACGATCCGCACCGTCGTCGTGGTATGTCGGCGGCCTGCCCATGCGCAGGTCAAAGGCGTATTCCAGCAGGGCCAGGACGACGTCGCACTGGTGGGGAAAGAGCCCTTGGTAGCGGTCCAGGATGTCGCCGAAGGCCTTTTCGAGGAGTTCAAAGGCGGTGTTGGTGGTGAGTGAGGCCGTGACGAGGTCGGTCTGGTGGTCGCGGTAGCTGGTCCAGATGCCCTTCAGGAACGACCGGATCTCGTCGAGGTCGGCATAGAGGGCCATGAAGGCGCAGAGGGCCTCGTCGACGTTGTCCTCGATGCCGTACTGCAGCGCCTCGTCGGCATCGTCGCCTTCCTCGCCGCCTCCTCCGTCGATGCTGCTGACCTCGAGCTGGCTGAAGAAGTTCTCCATCGAGGCGATCTCGCCGTCGTCCTCCTTTCCGGCGCCGCTGGAGACCTGGCTCTTGCCCTTGGACCTGGCTTTGGCCTTGGATTTGACCTTGCTCTTGCTCTTGCCCTTGCCCCTTCGCTTTCCCTTGCCTCGGCACTTGCCGCCACCGCCCTCTTGCGGCTCGCGCACGGCAGAATCACCGTCGCTGTCCTCCTCCGCCTTGCTCTGCACGCAGGGCTGCAGGATCCTAATGACCTCGACGAGCACCTCGACAAAGTGCCCGTGCTTGGTGCATGCTCGACCGTCCCTTTCAAAGAACTTGAGGCAGGTGATGCGGCGCGCGACGCAGCGGCGGATCAGAGCGAGCCTGCTGTCCGGGACCGCATGATGCTTGTCGGCGATGAAGCGGGCGAGCTCGACGAACTGGGGTATGCGGAGGATGTACTTGTACTGCTGGTTTTTGGCGCGGTTGAGGCCGGGCGAGGAAGCGCTCTTGCCCGAGACCCTCCTGGCCGCGGTGAAGCGCTTGTGTGGGAAGCCGAGCGAGACGGCCGTGGTGGCGAGCCAGCTGGCGCAGCGGTCCGTGTCGCGCTTGTAGAGCCAGTAGGTGGAGCTGTACCCGTCCATGGCGGTCGCTAGCCGCGGCAAGAGAGCGGATGAGAGGTGCTGGACAAGCTCGAATGCGCGAAACGTGGCGCGTGAGCCGTTCAGAGTCACGGAAAGCCTGGGCGCGGTGGTGTGGGGCGTGGTGGGCTGGAAAGGACAAGGAGAGTGGCAACGGCTGCGATCAGACGGATAAGCGGCGCTAAGGAAGAGTTAATGCGAGAGAGGATGTGAGGGTAGAGAGAGTGAGATGGGGGCCGAGCAAGGACGGAAGGTCGAGGACGGGAAGCAAGGTGCGAGAGGCGCCACGAGGGCGCGACTTGGCCAGGCCCGAAAATTCTGGGCGGCGTGCGGGGCTTCGCTTTGGCTCTGAGCAGGGCTGCACGCACACTGCTCCTATACCTGGCCTGCCCTGCCCTGCCCTGGCCTATTCTGACCACTCAGCTAGCCGCTCCGACCTTGTCCCTGCAAGGTGAGCGTCCAAAGCCGCTGCCGAGCCGCACCGCAGGCTGGACCTCTTCGATCGACTGCTCGCAGCCCCAGACCCGCTCTGAACAAGACGATGGAAGCCCTGGGCACGGCTGCGGCTGAAGAGAGTCATGTAGGGAGAGCGGGATAGCCAAACGAGGCGGCGAAGCCAAGAACCGGCACAGTCGGGGCGTGCCAAGGCGAGGCGAAACGGCTAGAGCTTTCGATCGGCCGCAGAGACAATCACGACATGGAAGGCTGAGGCGCCCCTTGTGGCGTATTCGACGCCAGACGCGTCGGTAAGAGAGGGGCTCCTTCGCCAGACGTCTCCGTACGTAGCCCTGCAGCCAAGGCGTGGAGGGATGAGCATGACGTGGTACTGCCAGGTCAAGGAGAAGAAGCACGGAACCGAGCGGGTGTTTTGTAGCGAGGCGTTGGCGCCGCCGGCGGCGCTGCAGTGCTCGGAGGACGGTTGACGATAGATAGCAGCAGATGGGACGAGAGAATGGATGGACCGGGTCTTGAACAGAGGCTGCATAAGGGCTGCGCTAGAGGGCTGAGGGTTGGGACGGCCGGATGGGGCGGCGGAACGAGCCGTTTGGCAGTCGGAGGCCGGCGACGCCGGTGGCGGAAGCGATGCAGCCAAAGGGCGATCAGAACGAGGCTCTGGGTCCCGGATTTGCAGTCTGGCCGCTCTGTTCTGTGGTGACTTCGTCGGGAAGTTGCTCGCCGGCCTCAGCCTCGGCGATGTCGGAGCCGTCATCGTCCTCATCCTCATCCCCTCCCTCGTCCTCGTCCTCTTCCTTGTCCTCGTCTGGCGTATACGCGCCGAGGGTGATCAGACCAGCGTACAGCTGGTGATAGCCGGCGTCTTCCCCGACTTCAGTCAGCTTGTCGAGCATCGCTCTGGCCACGCGGAGCAGGGCTTCCTTCTGCCTCTGGACCATGGGCGCGAGGACGCCGCCCTTCTTGCGGTTCTTGGAGAACGTGCCCCCAACGATGACGAGCGTGGTGAAGACTGTCTCGAGGGACCTGCCGTTGTGCGGGTAGCCTGGATCCGGGTTCAAGCTCTTCCGGTCCGCTTGCAGAGCGGCGTAGACCGCCTCGAAGACGCGCGAGCAGCGCGTATTGAGCGCCACGTAGTCAAAGCACAGGTCCGGCATGCCGACAATCAGGCTCGAGGCTTGGAACTGGACCAGATCGACGAGCGCGAGGCGTCGCCTGGGGCCCCTCTTGCGCTCCGACCGGCTAAAGTTGGGACGACCGTCGATGATGGGCACCGTGGTGTCGGCGGCCGTGGCGGTGGATATGGCGTCGACAAAGAGGTTCTTGCCTGCCCCTTCGGGCTGCGTGGCGACGAGCTCGTTGTAGAGGCTCTGCATCGGGTCGTCGGTCAACTGGCCGCCTGGATCCGCGTCGGCGCAGCCCCTGCAGGTATGGAGCATCGCCAGGAAGACCTCAAAGAACTTCGAAGTGCTGCTGAGCCGATTGAGACGCATACCGAGCTCGGAGGGCGAGTCCATCTTCAGGGCCTTGTTCATGCGAGGCGCGCTGCCGTAGAGGAAGTCGTTGATAAAGCGCTCAGTATAGCCGTAGAGCCGCATGAGGCTTATGGACGACTCGGCCAGGTCGGTCGGCGGAGCATCGCTGCCGAAGAGCTTCTTGGATCCGTGCAGCCGGAGGATGAGGTCCGTGTCGGTCCAGCTGAGCTTCTGACCCTTGAGCTCCTTGGACAGGTAGACCTTGCAGGTGGTGAAGAGGTGAAGGCCCGCCAGGGGCAAGGTGCTACCCTTGGTGCTTTCCGACCCCAGGTGGCGGAATGGAAAGAGAGCGCGAGCTGCTTGCAGGCCGCAACAGACCGGGTGACGATCGAGGAACCGGTCCCTAGCGGCGGTGCTCCAACCTTCGCCGTCGCTTTCGCGGCCATCGACAAGGGTGCTCCGCGACTTGAGCTCACGCAGAAGCTTCTGGATGAGCTCGTCCATTGCGTCGAGGCCGTCCTCGTTGGAGATCGGGACTTTGAGCTCGAGCCTGCACCGGCTGCGCTTCGCCTCGTCGAGGCTGTCCCGCATCTTGTCGAGGCACTTCTTGGCCTCGAAACGGGCTCGGCGCTTGTCGTGCCGGAGGATCAAGTTGATGTCGATGAACGCTTGCAGCTCAAAGGCAAGGAGCAGCGATGGGCCCTCGGTGCCCCGCAGGAAGCGACTCATCTCCAGAGTGAGGGCGTCGTGACTGCGGGCGCTCAGGTCAGGGCATCGGACGACGCCTTGCTGCGGCACGCTGGCCTCGTGACTTGGCGTCGAACGACTTGAAGTCGCACAGGGCGGTGAAGAGGATGTGGATGTCGAGGCCTCTGCGCTGCTCTTGGCTGCGGGGAGACGGTGATCCAGGCGCCGCTTTGTGGTCGAAATCCTCGTCGGTCATCGGGACGTCGCGAGCGGCTTCCGGATCCCTGTGCCACGCGTCGAACAGGAACCACGGCCGGATGCAGAAGTAGTCTTCGGCCATGGCCCAGGCCTCTGCTTTGGGACCCAGGTCGGCGTAGCTGCTGTAGATGAGGCCTGAGATGCCGCCGCCGTCGCCGTCCCCGTCGAGGAGCGGTCCGCCCGTTCGCAGCTCGACTGCGTAGCTGGCTAGCGCCGTGAGCAGCTCCTTCGGACCAGCAAAGAGGCCTCGGTAGCGGGCCTGAATATCGGCGAACGCCTTTTCGACGAGCAAGAAGGCCGTGGTGGTGGCGATGGACGCCGAGACAAGGTCGGCCTTGCGACGGCGGTACTCGGACCACAGCAGGCACAGGAAGCGGCGGATGTCGTTGAGGTCGGTGTAGAAGACCAGGTAGGCGCACACCGCCTCGTCGACGCTGTCCTCGACGCCGTAGTGGAGCTCCTCGTCGTCGGCGGCGTCATCGTCGTCTCCTTCTTCCTCGTCGTTGCTCTGCAGCTCGAGGCAGCCAAAGAGGTTCTCGTTGGAGACGTCTTCGCCGACTTGCGCATCGCGGGCGGTACCGCGCTTCTTGCTCTTGCCCTTCTTGCGGTTGCGCGTGGCCTTCTTGCGGCTGGCGCTATGCTGCTGCTGCGGCTGCTGTTGCGATCGCGGCTGCTCGAACGACTGCGGGATATCGAGAATTTTGTGGAGCACCTCGACAAAGTAGACGTGCCTGGTGCAGACCTGGCCGTCCCTCTCGTAGAACCTGAGGCAGGCCATGCGCCGGGAGATGCAGCGGGTGACGAGCTGGAGCTTGTCCGCGGGGACGGCATATCCCCGGTCGGCGATGAACTGGGCGAGCTCGACGAACTGCGGGATGCGGACGATGTACTTGTACTGCTGGGCGGCCGGCTTGGTCTGCTCGCAGTGGGCAGCGGAGATGCTCTTGGCGGGGTGATTCTCGGCGGCAGTGAAGCGCTCGCACGGGAAGCCGAGGGAGACGGCTGTGGTAGCGAGCCAGCTGGCGCAGCGGTCCGTAAGAGATGAGAGAGAGGGGAGAGGGGAGAGTGAGTACGAGTGGGCTTATGAGGCAAATGGGGCGACCCATCCCGGCCCGCGACCAGACGATGAGGGGCGGAAAGAAAGAGACGAGACGAGGAGGCGCACTCCGTCCGAGCACTTGGCGCAGCGAGAGGGCGAGCTGGCGCGGGTGGGCCCGATCGGCAAAGATAGCGGCGTGCGCGGGAGCGGAGCGTAGCTCGGAGGCGGCGCGGGTGGGCGACGCACCCATGCGGTCCAGGTCAAGCTCGACCGGCCAAAGACGCTACGGGGATCGCAGAGCAAAGAAGCTCGATGGGCGCGAGCCTCATCCAACGCGCCGTTCGCTACTCGTCCACGAGACAGGACAAAGAAACGATGTGCTCTGGACGAGGGCGCGCCAGTCTCGGCCTCGTTCCTATGCCGACAGGAGCAGTCTCGAAGAGTGATCTTCGAGGAGGGGGGGGGGGNGGGGGGGGTGTGGTAGGAGCGACGGCCGTCGTCGGTCCGCGTCGCGTCGCCGCGCTACACTCGTCGGCCTCCGCGTCGGACGGCGAC